TTCGGGTGTGATAATTCCTCCGCTAGCCAGGCTAGGGTATTCCTCGCCTCCCGTACTCGGCATACTCCGTCGAGTGTCTCTAGCGGATACGACGACTTAGCTTGAGTTGGGGACATCCTACAACTGGTGATCTTCCTTAGGTTGATGATATACCTGCATTACCCAGAACACGGAATATACCATAATTCCCATGATTTAGGGTCCTTAAGGTGATGCAGGATTTGTATCATCAACAGTAGGACCCAGCCCCAAACTGCAAGACGCCTGATGATGTGAATCCTGCTAAACCCATAATTAGGAAGGCGCCATGGTTCCCATAGTTTGGGGTCCTATAAGGTATTTCAGGATTTATATCATCACCAGTAGTATCTTTTGAAATCATTGCATGATATAGGGCGAAGTCATTGCATGATATAGAGCGCCTTACGCCAACCAAGAATAAAGCCTATGAGGACTAAACTTCAACTCCAAAATTCCCTAAACCCAACCTGTAACCGAGAACACAGACCTTTTCACACTCTCACAACTCGGACAAGCCAGGCGAGGTGCTTCGGGGGTTACCCCTATGCATTTACAGGCCATATGAAACTTATGCACAGGGGGCGGGGAAGGGCTTGGGCTTCTTTTGTGCCCCACCTAGCCGGCGCTTTGTCTGATATGCCTTGGGTGAGGGTTTGGGGTCTCCGCAAACAATCTCTAAGCTGTTCCTGTTGAAACTGGATGTTGTAACTGCCGAGTCTAAGTACGACTTTCACTACTGGATGTCCAACCTACATACAGCCCGCGGCTGAAAACAGAAACCCTAGACCCTTTTTGCTGCTGGACTCAAGTCTAGCCAGACTACGACCAGAACCATTTTGCAGCAGGCTTCTCTCTCCCGGAACCAACCCTAGACCCTAAACCCTGAACCCTAAAACCCTATAAACCCTAAACCCTAAACCCTAAACCCCAAACCCTAAACCTGAAACCCTAGACACTAAACCAGACGAGGTCAGCGTTTTTCACCTCCGAAAACCACATGGCGCCTTCCAAAGACTACTATAGGAGCCTTAATAATTCGGACAGGGCTTGGGGCTCCTTTATGGTATAACTACAACGGTTAGGGTTTAGGGTTTAGGGTTTAGGGTTTAGGGTTTAGGGTTTAGGGTTTAGGGTTTAGGGTTCAGGGTTTAGGGTTTAGGTTACTGTAGGCTGCTACAACGGTATAATATAGGGTCCGTAGTACTTGGAATAGGGTTTTGGGGGTATGGTGTACGATAATGTGAGAATCCAAAGCAAGCCCCAAAATCGTATTGGTAAGCATTCAGGCGCCTACGTTGCCCTCAACCCTAAACCTTGAGCTCATGAACCCGTACCTTAAGTCAAACCAACATACCTTTCTAACGGCTTATATATAGAAATCAACAAGAGATCCTGGAAAGGTTGGTTTTATAGGATCCAGGCAAACCCTAAACCCGAATCGCTAGTATATTGGTCTGAATAAATAGACTAGGTTTTTTGCTGTATATAATAGAGACCTACAAGAAACAGTATGGGTAATCTTCCCAGCTTCTATAGCAAAACTCCTGTGCCACTTCGCAGAGCAGTTGAGAGGAGAAGCACTTCTTCTGTGGGTCGGCCTGGCCAGGCGGCTTTCCCTCTGCCAGATGGTTCGGATCAATGCCCGCAGCCAGAGGATTTTTTGTGGGGTTGAGGGCAGGGAGTTGTTGGAACTCACTCTCGGACAAGGTCTGCGGAGATACGGGGTCTTCGGCCAAGGATTATTAAGGCTTAGATGTTAAGGGCTTTGGGCTTTGGATATCTGATCTCCAGAGGGGACTCATCCTTGCCTCTGTCGGTCTAACCAAGCTCGCCGCTTACCCGCAGTACGCACCTCATCATACCAAAACGACCTAACCAGTTGAGCACTGCAGGAAGCTACGATATACAGTGAAATATGGCAGCCTGAACAATTAGAGTAAGGTCTTGGGGTGCCTTCAGGTACCTACTTTTCCTGGGCTCTTAATTAACCCTAAAACCGCAACCCTAAACCCTAAACCCTACTTCCTAAACCCTAAACCCTAATTCCTGGGCCTTCTTTACACCTGGACTACGCATATGCCTACACCCCGCAAGCCCTCAATGAGGCGACCTGTCCTGCAGAGCCTTGAGCACGACAGCCACACGGGAGATCAGCGACTCCTCGCCGTGACACGCTACCTTCAACAATGAGGCCTTCCTAGCCCTGATCTTAAAGGAAACTACAGGTATTAGGGGTTCAGGGTTTAGGGTTTAGGGTTAAAGGTCCAATGAGGCTTAGGGGGACCCTTGAGGAGATAGACCCTCTCAACGAGGTCCCTTTTAAGGGAGCCCTAAATAAGGTTAAGAAGGGTCCCCTTTAAGGGGTCTCCCGAAGGTTACCCGGATGTAGGTCCCCCCAAAATAATACGGCACCCTCATTCCTGGCTCTCCAGCTCCAGCTGCGCCGCGTCATCCCACCTTGGGGTTTGGGGCTTCGAGGGTATCAGATTCAGGTTTGGGGTTTGGGGTTTAGGGTTTCGGATTCAGGTGTGGGGTTTACTTGCAGGATCACCTGTATAATGGCAAGTAGGATGGAAAGACAAGTTTAAGAAATCTTACAGTATAGACACGAGTAGAATGGCAAGTAGGGTCTAAAAAAGTTTAAGAAATCTCACAGCATAGAATAGCAAGTCAGGTTGGCTCGTTCAAGCCGCGTAACAGTGATCAGATCGGAAAGGTGGCCATGCCCGCCAAACCCCGAGACAAAGATCTTGCTCCGTGACACTGCAAAATATTGCTAAGGTAGGGGCCTTAATAATTAGAATAAGGTTTTTTGGGGGGTATATTATACTAGGCTTATAGTAAGGAACCGCCAAAAGAATATAGGTAATTATTTGGGCCCCATTTTTTATTCAGTGAAAGTCTGGGCTGCTTCAGGGCTTAGATATGGTTGACACATTCGCGGGCCTACCCAAGATCTTAGTCTTCGTCTGGACATTGCCAGCCGCACATGAAAACTGAGACCGGGATTGAAGTTTGAAGTATTGAAATCATCAGCCTTCCCGACACCCTCTGCTGCCAGAATGCGCTGCGTCCGTGAGCGCGATCTGCGTCCGTCGTAATCTGCCATCACCTGGCTCGGCCTTCATCGATCGTGCAGGGGAGAATGCGGAGGCCAAGACCCATGAATCAAGGAACCTTGACCTACAATGAGACGACGGATTCTTGTCATGCTTGAAGGTACCTATAGTCTCCATTGTAGTTCCTTCTTTGGCTTAACCAATCTTATAGTCGGATCCTAAAAGGTAACCCCAAAAAGGAACTACAACGGAGACTATAGGTATATTCCGTCATCAAGAGGAAAAAAGGCTCTCTGGAAATTACGCTCAGGAGCGGCTCCTGTCCCCGCTAGCTATTGGCTGCTTGTACAGGACTCAGAGCATCTGATTTTGAATCGCAGTCTACCTGCAACCATCTAGATTAGAGTAACATGGGGCCAGACGTGTTGTCAGAGGACATACACAAGAAGAGCCATGCATAAAACTCTGCAGTGCAGAACATCAGCATCGTCGTTGTAGTCGTCGGCCTGAGTATAACATCATCACTATGGTCGTCTCACTATGGCCATCGCTTTAGATTCACCGCCCTGCTCAGGGGAACCATTACAGGGTCATTACCGGAATACGGTCCATGTGCGAAGAAAGGCTGCCCAACTCCAGACTGCGAGCGATGGACCCGAAAAAGATCCCAAACCCAGCCCTTTGAACACGAAAAATAGAAACCCGAAACGGTGAACACATCCAAAGCACCCAACCTACTGACTGACCATTATTTGAACCATGAGACAATTCTAAAGCCCTAGCAACCCCAAAGCCCCGAGGTGGACATCCCATCATCTCTCAGCCCTAAACCCATAAACCTAAAACCCTAACACCCCAAAGCCTATCATAAACCCTAAACCCTAAACCCTATCATAAACCCTAAACCCTATAAAGCCTATCATCCCTAGAGTCCCTATAAAGCCTTCGAAGTCTCAGATCCCGATGCTCAGGTGCCTCGTCGCCCCCGGGCCGCCCAACGGCGAAGATCTCTGAGCGCTCCTGATTCAAGGGTTTAGGGGTTTAGGGGTTTAGGGGGTTAGGGTTTAGGGGTTTAGGGTTTAGGGGTTTAGGGTTTAGGGTTTTTTCGGGACAGAGGGGGTTAGGGTTTAGGGGTTGAGGGTTTCAGGGTTGCAGGCTTTCAGGGTTAAGTTTAGGGCTGGGGGGTTTATAGGGTCTCTTGCTAAGTATGCCCACGAGCTCTGAGGTACATACTCCATCATGAAAATTTTTCGGGCGTAGTCTGAAATTCCAAAGATGTGGCTCGAAGCCCCCGCCGCCCTTGGTTTGGGCTTTAAAGTTTAGAGGCTTGGTTGCATGCAAGCACCGAGACGCATCTCCCCAATCTCGCTAGATGCCTGCAAACATACAGAGCTCGAATTATGCAAGCGCGATGTAGGGGCCTCAATAATTAGAACAATCCATTACACAACTTCACAAAACCCAACCGAAACCCTAAAAGAAAGAACACGGTTTTTTGTTGCATCCCGTCTGGGCACCGTCAAATCTACAAGTAAGACCCGCTAAAGCCTTCAAGGGAAACTTGAATCCACAACTAAACCCTAGACCCTGAACCCCTAAACCCTAAACCCAGAAAGACCTACCAAAACCCTGTAAGACCCTCAGGGCGAACTTCAACACACAACGAGCACCCCACAGCAAAAACAGATGCTAAGGCCTGAAGGAAGCGGAGCAGCGCAGGGATCGCCACTTTCCACCTTAAGCGCACTTTCAGGACTCCACCTTAGGGTTTTTTTTGCCTTGCAGGGTTTAGGGTTTAGGGGGTTTGGGGCTTGGGGTTTTTAGGAATTGAGGCTTAGGGAGTTGAGGGTTACGCTCTCAAAACTCGGACATGCCACGGAGTTTAGGGTTAAGGTTTGAGGTTTAGGAATATACTTCCTCTTAGGAGACCGTAACAGCATCCTATACCTGGTAAAACTCATCAACGAACAGAACAGTAAGAGAACCATGGCTATTCCTCCTTCGATGAGAAGGATAAAAACATACCATGCGACTCCCACAGGCCCTAAGCAACACACTTGTTTTCTTTGTTGCCCCTTTGAAACCTTCAAAGCCGTGTAGAACTATTCGTTCCTCTTCTTCTTGGTTCCTTTTGAAGCCTGTGAACTCCCTCTAAACTCTTTCACTTTTGCTCCTGTAAAGCCCATAAATTCCCCATTAACCCCAAACCCGAAGCCTTAAAACCTAAATCCGGAGTCCTGCTTCCGGTTCTGAGACCTTTCTCAAAGAACCCTAACCAAAAGGACTCCCCAAACCCATAACCCTAAACAAACAAACCCATATCCTAAACCCCTAACCCTCAACAAACAAACCCATATCCTAAACCCCTAACCCTAAACAAACAAACCCATATCCTAAACCCCTAACCCTAAACAAACAAACCCATATCCTAAACCCCCAAAGAAACATAACCCAAAACCCTTAATTGGCTCTAAACCGTAAAGTGCTGAGCCTTCCACCAGGCTTCCGACCTCGGGGCGTGAGCCGGCAGTGACGCACCTTGCCGGAGGGCAGCGGCTTTCGGATTCCTTTTGGGGGAACTCTCAAGGCTCCTATAAAGGATCTATAAGGTTCTTGGGGCTATCCTTCCAAAAAAGACCTTGGATCATGCAGCTCCTATCGGAAGGAGAGTTCAGGAAGTCATTAAAGGCGAACTTCGGCTTTAGCGGCTAAAAATGGAACGGACACTTCCGTCCGTTGAGGGCTCCTGTCTTAGGGAGCACGGATATGAGGGTCCCCATGCCGGGTTTAGGGTTTCGGGTATCCTTAAAATGGAACCTCACAGCCTTTCTCCGTATCTCTCTGACGCTGTTCCCTGATGGTCCCAGGCAGCATTGAAGCTCCCATTGCATTTCATGGCCCCAAACGCCCCAAACTGCAAACCCTAAATCTAACCCCCAGCCCTAAATCCAATCTTAAACCCAAAGCACTAGCTCTAAGTAATCCTGCACTCAAGCCTGTCTCCTATCATCCTTATTCGCCACACAAAACCCTTCTTTTTAACCGAAAAATTCTAAACTCGAAAGCTGAGGGCCTAAACCTCCAAGTCTAGGCCAGCATGGCCTTCAGCGATCTCGGCACGCAGCCACCGCGTCAGCGCCGCCCGCGTCCGAGGCACCGTGGCAACCCAGTCAAGCCGGACGGGTTCACGCCTGACTCCAAACAGGTACCCTATAGGGCTCCAGTTACCTACATAATGGGTTACTGGGGTATATAATATATGGCTAGTAACCTACGATTTGGGTAACTGCAACCGTAGGGTATGGCTCCAGCTACTTGAATAATTCTGTTGAAAGCATCCCCTAAACCCTTATCTACCCCAGAAGCCCCATAGGCAACTGGAGCCCTCGGCTCAGTCTTAGGATCCCTAGTCTAATCCTCGCTGGCGGTTTAGCGTTAAGTACTCCAGCGGTTCCCGGCTCTCCTTCTCCCTCTCAACCTGGCTGGCGACACGGAATGACAACTCAACGAATGAAAGAACTCTAAACTTAATAACGGACTTAAAGCCTTAACGCCCAAACGCCTTCGAACCTAAAACCCTGACCTGTCGACATAGAATGACAAGCCAAAGAACTCTGAACCCTAAAACTTGAGTTAAAGCCCTAAAGCCTTCGAACCCTAAAACCCCTAAGCCCCAAGCAGGAAGGAAGGGAGAAGCAGCCAAGCAACCCGCTGCCCCGAGACGACATGACCTTCGGCAGTTGTGAAAGCTCGGGCTTGGGCTAGCAGGTATAGGGTTTCCGGAGTTAGGGTTCAGGGGTTCAGGTGCCTTAATGTATTAGAACTGGTGCATCATTGTCGTAAGGCAACAATAACCGTGAATTTCTCAATGGGCCAAAGGCTATTCGTGGCATGGTCTTTGGCTCCAAAAGCCTTGAAACTTGAATCCTTAAATTCCGTAAGGAGGTTTCCCTTGAAGCCACGAAGTGCCGGGATGCGTGGCGGAGCCCAGCAACCAGCTCGCGCTGCAGATCCTCCGGGGCAGGTAAACAAAAGTAACTCAGCTCTTGAGAAGAAACTTGAGTTTTGAACAACAGCCACACCACCGACCTGAACCATCCGGACCACCACCGTAACTCTGTGGCGGTGGGTTCGAAGTCTGCAGGTTCCCTGGTATCTTAGCTAACAGATCCAAGAACCCCCCCCCCAAACTCCAAACTCGAACTCCCACTCTTTCAGCCGAGATCCTCGAAACCAAAACTCAAAGCAGTAAGCCCATCAAAACCTCGGAGAGACTCCTCAATTTCTCGATACGCCCTTTTTGAGCACTGTCTACAGCCTAAACAAAGACTTGAAAAGGGACCGCGAAATCTCGCGCCTTGGCTTCCGCCACTGCGCGTGTCCGACCTTCTGCCGCCGGCGGCCCCTCGACAAGATTCTCGGATGTTCCCGGGCTCGGGCTTGGTTTGCATAGGATCCGTGACCTCGGGTCCTAAAGGGGGTCCTTATATACTGACCCTGTGCTACTACGAAAGTACTCATGTGATTGTGGTTTTGACTGTGGTCGCGTTGATGATGAAGAAGATGATGCTAATGATGATGACGGTGTTTTTGCTTAGTTCGGCCACAAGGCTCGGGGCATGGGGCCTCGCATTTCCGAGGGTTCTCCACGAACATGCATGCATGCATGCATGCATGCATGCATGCATGCATGCATGCATGCATGCATACCTAGGGTAAACAGACATGTGCATTTAGATGCACATACGTTTACATCGCCGCTTTTGTCTTTACATCCGAATGTGCATACTTACACGAATCTACACATGTATACATGTCTACATGTCGGCTTACATCTGCATCTACCTTCATACATCTAAGTGAATGCAGGTGCATATGCATGTATGTCTTTATCCGTGCGTGTATGTGCAGGTATTTAAGTATATATGTTTATACAACGTATAGATGTGTAGCTATGCATATATATATGTATATATATATGTGTGTGTGTGTGTGTGCAGTGGTATACTGGCGTTCCTGCCTGCCTGCCTGCCTGCCCACCCACCCATCTGTCTGAACTACGGCCGTAGAGGTACCAACATACATGCATACATTCACAATACCTGGATGTGGTTGCAATACGTACTTAGGTAAATCCAAATCTCAAAGGCCCAAGCCGCACCTACAACGCTTCTGGCGCTACTGATGGATAAGCTGCCTCGCGGCAGCTAGTGCGCACGACGCCGTGCTCAGCGGCGAGGTGGGCAAACAGCTGGTTCCTGCTCTGTCTGTCCCCCTACCCAAGCTGCAGACAAAACAAAACAATAATGAACATTATCATTTTCGCCGTGCTGTATCGTCTAATCCAGCTGACAACATAGACGAAACATTTGAATGCTCGGGCATTCAAGTGCCGCCACTCTTTGCCTCAGCTTCCCACACCATGCCTCGAAGCTCTAAGCCAAAAATTAGGTAAATGGCTTTTAAGCCGCAGGGTTGCAAGCCCCATGCCTGAGGCTTGAATGCCAGAAATCATGGCTTGGGGTTGAGACCTTGTACAAAACATATACTGTCTAGTATGTGAAAGTGTACCAAACGAGAATAAAAGTATCCCATCCCCCAAGAAACCCTGAACCCTTAACCCTAAACCTCTAAACCCTAAACCCTGTCCCCTACCGCCCCAAGGCCCCAAGCCCTGCACATCCGCTGGCCTCGTGGCGAAGGCTTGCGGGCAGGTGCTGCACTGCCAGGCCTTGGAGGGCTCACGGCCTGGCGAAGCCCGCAGCTTCTTGTTCGGGATGCCACGGGTTGGTTCATGTTAGTTCCTTTAAGGATTGAATTAGGGGGGGGGGGTTAGGGTTTAGGGATTCGAATGAAAGGGGTCCCATGCGGGTTCTTCATGGATTTGAAGGTTTAGGGGTTGAGGTTCAGGGCTTAAGGTTTATATGGTTCATACTAGCTAAGGTTACTCTGAAGGGATCCTACAAGGGGTCGGAGGGCATGTGATTTGGGGTATCTAAGGAGCAACGACTTGTACATAAGGGTGTTGAAGTATTTCAGAAGGGCTGTCTTTTTGTAAGGGGCTTGGAGTATTGCGGGCTCAGGGGCTTAGGTTAGAAGCTCCAAAGACTGACGGTTGAGGGTTACTTAAAGAAATATTCCTCACAGCTCCTACTTCAGAACTACAGTCGAGTATCCCTCCCAACACATATTCCAATCATGCAGGCCCCGATATTCGTCGAAAGGTTACTGAAACCCTAAAGCGGATCAGAGAGGACTTGTAAGAAGGCTTGGGCTTGCACTGTCATGCTCTAAGCCTTTGGGGAATCAGGCCAGGCTACATGAAGCTGAGTGTTCAGGGCCCCGCGTTCCGAGGAAATAAACCCGAGCTTAATGCATAATGTAGGGGCCTTAATAATTAGAATCGGGTTTGGGGGCTTGTATCAACAACCCCTAAATCCTGTAGATGGTGCCGCCTGCAATCCCTAGGGCTCCGGTTACATAAGTCACAGCAATGAGATACTGGCATACATCATATATATATATATATGTGTATATATATATATACATATATGTATAGAGCAACCCATAATCTTTAAGCAACTGGAGCTAGGGCATCCCATAAATTCTCAGCGGCCTGTGGCCGGACCACCCTGCGCTTCAGGAGTCGCGCTGCAAGGCACACTACAGCTGGCGTCCGGCTGCAGGAAGATTGTGTGCCTTAGCCAAGGAACGTCGCAGCGTCGAGATTTTCACAGCAATAAGAATCACAAAGAGATATTAAGATAACACAGATAAGAATACGTATGCACCTTGAGCTCCAACAGCATATTCGTCTGAAGGCTTCAAAGCACGTTACTTTTCGTCGGGGAGAAGCCATCCCTGCAAAGACTATGAATGTCGGGAAATGGTTCGGCGTCGTGATTCACGCATCCTGAACTTAAATTGGCCCTGGAGAACACCAAATCCTCAACTACTACTCATCCTGGGAAAACTCTCCCGGCAGAGACGCTGGTGGCCCGCGCTGTCGACACGAAACACCTGCATCCAGTGCATGCTGCAAGCCGTCTGGCCGCAGAGCCGTAGACCCTTTGAACCCAGACTCTGCCGCAAACCACCGAAATCCCAAACCCTAGCCTAAGCCCCTAAATCATGAACCTTGCCCTAGAGCTGATCAGAAGTTGAGCCCGAGTTGTCCCAGAGAAGAGCTCGGTTTTGAACCCCCGCAAACCCACCCTTGAACATATGTAGGCTGATAGCACTGGAACGTGCGAATCGACGAAGCTCTCATGCATCCTGACGCACATAGACTGCAAACCCTGAACTAGATCCTGAATGGCGCAGCCTGTTTCCGAGCACCCTGATGTCTTTTGCTATTGTCCGAACATAGGACAGGTCACCCGAACAAAGTGCTACAATCCAGGGTCTAGGCAAAGACAAAACTCCAAATCGATGTCCTGCGGGTGGCCCGCGATGAACTTCAACAGTCTTCGATCACCTGCTCAAGCTCGCAGAAGAGCCCACTACAGCCCTTCGCATGTTTCATGAGATCATAGAGGTTTAAGACATAAGGCTTGTGTATGTCAACGAGGGTTTAGGATTCATTTTCTCAAGTTGTCATACAGTCTGAAGATCGAATACAGTCCGACTACAGAATGAAATGATATGCTATAACTTAAATTTAGGGAGATAGATGGGCCTCTTTGCATCTCTGAGTACTGCACAGGTGGGAAGTTAACGATGGGACCTCCCGTCTTTAAATCCTTCCCAAGACCCTCGAAGACAAGGCTCCTTTTCCAAGATTAACGCAGTGTTCGGTCCTGCACCGTTTGAGCGACCGGTGTACCGGTATGATGTTCGCGCAATCCCGGGTTGTGAACATTTTCCTCGTGTCCGCATGATGTACTCTACTCTCCTCAAGGCATAGTGGCGGGAAGACTGTTTGCATGCCTTCTCTTACGATCCAGCGGCTTCGAGACGTATCGGGACTTCTCAGGCTTCACAAGAGCTTCCGCAGACCTGTTTGATCCAGTCCGGGCAAACCGAAACCCTCATGTTCTTTGTGCAGATCCTCCTGCCTAACCATTTCCGCAGCTGGCGGTTCTGAAGGAGTAGTTCACCTCCACCATAGAGGGAGCTTTCTATGTCGTTTAGGGTTTATAATAGAGTAGTAGGGTTTAAGGTTTACGGTCAGTTACATCGAAGCTGTCGTCTCGACCAAGGTTTTGCGATGCCAACCTAGCCTAAACTCTCAATCCGAGATCCTAAACCCTCAAACCCGCGCACTAAATCCTAAACCCTAAACCCTGAATCCCTAAACCCTAAACCGTGACTTACCCCCATTTCCGTATCGGGTTTTGGGTTCCCGGGAAAAACCTGAAACCCCTCAACCTGCTCAACCTGAACCTTCAACCCCAAACCCTGAACCCACCATCGAAACCCTTAAAGCCTAACGTACGGGCCTAAATAATTAGAATAAAGTTTGGGGGCCCATTATACTATCATTATAACCAGGAAACTCCCCACAATAGTATTAACCCTAGACCCTAAACCCTATCATTTAGGCCCCTCCATTACAGTCCCTGAATGCTCAGCTTCCCCACCGGCAGGGGCGCTTCCGCCGCTCAGCTGGAGTTCCTGGACGAGGCCTCATCCAGACTCGGAAGGTTTTAGGGTTCCTCTTTAGGGTTTAGGGCTTTAGGGTTTGGAATTTGGGGTTTGGGGTTTAGGGTTCAGGGATGTTCAGGGTTTTAGGGTATAAGGGCACATGTTTAACATTTTTGGGGTTTAAGGGTCCTGTAGGGGCTCCTATATGAAGTCTTAGAGTCTTATATGGGTTTAGGGTCGAGGGTTTCAGGGTTCCTTCAAGGGGACATCTTTGCGGTTGGAGGGCACGGTGCAAAGTTTAGGGTAGGGGGTTCCTTTAACAGAACATACAGCTTAGATGCTGCAGCTCCCTTTTCCTTTACAAGGGTTCCATAGAGGTGAGGGTTTCAGGGTTCCTCTAGAAACTCCTACCGTTTTAGAGGGCTCCTCTGAGCAAAATGGGCTCGTGAGAGATGGAAAGTCGTAGGACAAAGGTTTTTGGGTCTGATGCCTTGGGATTGCCACCCCACCCTAAACCCTAAACCCTGAACCCTAAAGCCTAAAGCTAAATCCAAAGCTCTGAGGTCTATAGAGCTTCAGCCTGAAACGCCTGGTGGGAAAGGGCTGAAAGTTTAAATGCTATTCCTAAGTCTAAAACCATGAACCCGATAGACCAAAGACCCCTAAACCCCTAAACTGAAATCCAACCCCTACACGTTTGCCCTAAACCCACCAAAACCCCTAAACCCTAAACCCTAAACCCTAAACCCTAAACCCCTAAGCCTTTAATGCCCCGAGACTCCGAAGCCCTCAACCCAAACCTGTATGGAACCCTTAACCCTTGCGCCCTTATGCTGCAGGTTCTGTTAATGGAGCTCTAAACACATACTTACAGAACCCTTAAGGGAGGGTTTGAGGCTTCGGGCTTTGGGTTTAGGCTCTCCCAAAAACCCTATAAACCCTAAACCCCTTTACACAGGCTTGTTTGGATCTTGACTGCCTCGGAGCAGCTCGGAGTCGCGAGGAAGAGCCATGGCATGGTGGCAGCTTTGGGCTGAGGGCTCAGGGGTTAAGGGTTTAAGGGTTCACTTAAACTTAAACCCCCGAACTCACCTGTGCACTTTTTTGAGGAGTTTACATACGGAGGTCATAATATGTGAACAAGGAAACCGGAAAACGTAGGTTTTGTAAGGTTCAGGTAGGGTTTAGGGCTTCCCCGTGGCTCCAAACCCTGCAAAATAGCAGGTTGTGACCACTTAAAAAACCGGGTATAGCACTAGGTCTTTGGTTTGCCAAATAAGAATTTTAGGTTTAGGGATGACCGTGTCAGGGTTTGGGGGGGATCCTGGAAAGTCAGAGGCCTAAGCTTTTGAAGGGGTGTCCGCGGTTTTGGGCTTTTTAGTTCAAGGTTCCTTTTTCTGCTGAAGCCCTAGCCAAGTATCAAAAAGGGCAGCTCGGGAAGGACATATGCTTGTGGTATCATTCACAGCTCTGTCAAGGCTTAAGGATACCAACCATAAGATTGGTGAGTCAAAGCGGATTCGGATCTACACTGGAGACTTTGGGGAGGCATTGGATGCGAAGTTTGCGGTGGAAATATGCGGCCTAGGGCCGAACGTGTGCATGGGGTGTCGACTTTGCCACGTGTCAAAAGGAAGGGCGTGTATCCCAATATGTTTGTATGGTCTTAACCAGTCTTAACCCCCAAGCATAATAGTTTTAGTGGAGGTTTGGAGGGGCGGTTCAAGGTCGGGTCGAGAAGCGCTCCTGGCATGTCGGTGCGTGCAAGCCTTCACAAGCCGTCGCTTCTGCCTGTCTTGGGGTTCCTTACCCTGATCGCATGTAAAGCCTTGCAAATCAAAGGTAGGTCGTTTCGGGTTAAGGCAGTGGTTGAGGGGATTCGGATGGACTCGGGTTTAGGAGTTTCGGGTTTCTGCGACGACACGGCGCAGCATTTTCACCATGACGCCACCGACTCCGCAACGAAGCCGCGCTCAGCACATTTGGAGCAGTCTACCCTGACAGCTGGCTGCAGTCCAGAATCCTGGAAATAGCTGCCCTACCTATGGTCTCCTTTGTAGCTCCTTTTTCTTGGTTTAACCAATCATATATTAAGGATTTTTATAAGGTATCCCCCAAACGGAACTACAATGGAGACTATAGGTAAACCAAAAAACCCTAAACCCTAGGGGTTTGTTGGCCTCGGCAGCGGCTTTCTGACAGCCGGCGCGCTGCTTGGAGCAATTTGCCGGAGGTGTGGCGCACAGCTGGGTGCCGGCCCAGCCCTTTTCGGCGGAGGCTCCGCATCCAAAACGGGCGAAAGCTCCGAAGACTCCGAATCCATCAGAGCTTCCAAGGCCCAGGGCTTCTCTGTCTCTTCGTCTCTCGGATCCTCAGGAGCAGTGGTGGTCTCCGGTTTCCGATATTCATAGCCTCTGTAGCGCTTCTCTTGTCGCCGGCGGCGCTCCTCACGTCGCTTTTGCTTCTTGGACTCCGGGGGCTTAAGAGAGGCAATTTGCCTCTGAATGGACTCAGCCATATTGCGATATGTCTCCTTCTTGGCAGCATCAAGGAGGCTTGGATCGGATAGGCGCTGCAAGATCAATTGCAGCTTGTCCGTCATCTCGGCCAGGAGCTCCAGTCTCCTCTCCTTCGTTTCCGCCTTACTTGGCCCATGCTTCTCCGGCTTATCCTTCGGATCATCCCTTTTCAGATTATCCAAACACATGTTCTTCGCTCGTAGCCAACCCCGAGCTGCCATCCCGCGGGTTTGGGGGTCAGGGCTTGGCAGGCGTACTAAATTGATCTCAAAATGGGGGTTTCCGAAAATAGGGGACCCTAATATAGTACCCCAAATAATAGGATCCTTATTATAAGGACCCCAAAATAAGGTACCCCTAATTTTCGGAAACTCCCAAATGGTGCAAGACTCGGCTTCGCCCTGACTTTGTTGACATGCCTCGGTCATTCGTCGCTGCCTTGACCTTGGAATGCAACTCTTTTTTTGGACAGCCCCTGTGTATGCTTAGGATCCTATGCGTAAACATTCTCGGGAAACAGTTGAGCAAGAGATGCGCTGCGCGCGGTGAGTTTGAGAAATGGCAAGATGGGCTGCTTCGACCCGGCCCCGTGTCAGTGACTACATGACAAACATCTTGAAGCTTCTGGCCATTCACCTCTCTGAACAGGCCTTGTGCCCAAACCCTTAAACCCCTAAACCGTAAACCCTAAACACCTAAACTAAACCCTAAACCCCTAAACCCCTAAACCCTCAACCCTCAACCCCTAAACCCCTCATTAAAGTCTAAAGCCCAAAGCCCCCAATTCGAAGGCCCGAGGAGGACGGCTGGAGACAGAATGGCGAAGGCATGGCTCCCTTGAGGAAGGTCAGGGGTTTAGGGTTTAGGGTTTAGGGTTTAGGGTTTAGGGTTTATGGTTTAGGGGTTTAAGGTTTAGGGTTTAGGGTTTAGGGTTTAAGGTTTAGGGGTTAGGGTTTAGGGGTTTAAGGTTTAGGGTTTAGGGGTTGAGGTTTTTTGGAGGCTTACTTGGAGGTTCATGGGACTTACTAACTAGGGTGATCCATGGTTTAGGGTTTAGGGTTCCATTGTAGTTCCTTTTGTTTTGGTTGAACCAATCTTATATTAAGGATCCTAAAAGGTAATCCCAATGGAGACTATAGGTAGAGGCTGGTAGCGCTTACAGGGCTGATAATTTAGATGTGGGCTTAGGGATGTTTAGGGTTTAGGGTTTAGGGATGAGGGCCTCGGTCTTATAGGGCTTTAGGGTTTAGGGTGGAAGGTGCGAAGGCGTCAAAACACCACAGCAACGACTTAGCGTTTAAGGGCGTAGGGTGGATTATATGTGGTTGATGCAAGAAACCCTAACCCCTAAACCCTAAACAGGAGCCGACTGCATAGTCGTGGGACTTGGGGCCCGCTCAATCAGGTCTGCTTTCAGAGGGCCATAAGTTGAGTAGAGCTAAGAAGGGTCCCCGTTTAAGGGGTCAGCCCTAATGCTACCTAGGAACATAGGTCACCGGGCCCCTAGGGGAGGAGGGCTTGACGGTTTCAGGTGCCGAGGTTCAGGCTTTAAGATCTAAGTATTAGGGCTTAGGGTTTAGGGTTTAGCATTCAAGCTTTAAGGTCTTTTCGGTTAGGGTCCAGGCTTTAAGGTCTCAGTGTCAGGGTTTAGGGTTTAGGGTTCAAGCTTACTTAAAGGATCATGGGACCGAGGTTATAATTAAGGTAACTATACTTATAACCCCAATTAGGGGACTTATAACCTTACTTGCTAAGTCCCATGATCCTCCAAGTAAGGTTGAGAGATCAGGCTTTAGAGGGCTCCAGGTCTTAGTACCTGACAGCCAAAGACGAAGACCCAAGGCTTTGGTGGTGAGGGTGGGGCGTTTGGGGTTTAGGGGTTTTTGGGGTTTAGGGTTTAGGGGTTTAGGGGTTTGGGGTTTAGGGGTTTTGGGGTTTAGGGGTTTTGGGGTGAGGGTTTAGGGGTTCAGGTTTAGGGGCTTTAGGGTTTAGAGGCAGAGTGCTTGTGCTTTTTTGGTTCTCCTTCATCTTCGAGCTGCCTCCTTTTCGTACTTGCTGAGTTCACAAGCCCCCCCAAAAAGGTACACTTTCAATTCTATAAAGGGGTCATGTTATCCCAAAAAGTGTGAACTGTACTCAGCTACCAAGTCTTGGAAGCTGCGAACTCGAACACTTCGAGCTGCTAGGCGACTGCTGGCAGCACGTCTTGCGCCATGGCATGCAGGAGCGAAGGAGGGGAGATACCTATAGTCTCCATTGTAGTTCCTTTTGGGGGATACCTTATAAAATCCGTATTATATAATTGGTTAAACCAAAAACAAGGAACTACAAAGGAGACTATAGGTAGGGGCAAAGAGCTGGACTGATTGAAAGGCATTGGGCACACCTCTGCAAACCAGTAATGAAGTAGACTCGGGCAAGCCTTCCAGATCCTACAGGCCAAATGTCAAAGACCAAAAAACTAGAAGGGCTTGAACAGTTCTGGAATAAGCTTCAGGTTATACATGGGTATGCCCAACTACCTCAAACTGCGCCCCGGAACTGGAACAAAGCCACAGCGAAGTCTCTATTCATCACGCTTCCCTAGAAGCCCCGTTACAGGTGTATAGGTTGCGGTCACTGCTGCCCTACGGCCCAAGACCTCCAGTTAGGGCTTAGGGTTACCTAAATAGTAGGTTACTAACCTTAGGGTTTAGGGTTTAGGGTAACCGATTATTTTAGCAACCCATTATTTAAGCAACCGGAGCCATAGGGCTACGTAGACCCAATAAACCTCCAGTCTCCGTTGTAGGTCTTCTTTAGGTTACCTCGCTTTAGTATCCTCATCCTAAAACGGGTTCGCCCAAAGAGGAAGTGACAGGAAGTCCATAGAGAAGCCGCAAAAGACCCATGACCCAGTGATCTGCTAAACCCTAAGCCCCAAACCCGAAAGAGATATCTGGCCAAACGAACCCTCCCAAAAGCACGAACCTGCGAGCCGTGAACGCATGAACACCCATCTAAACCCCCTGAATTTCCAAGACTAGTGGATCCCTCTGACATTTAGGGCTCATAGGGTTTAGGAGCTTAGGCTTGTACCCATAGGCCCCATAGTAGTTCCTTTTGGGGATTCCCTAATAGGATTCCACGGATGAACCCCCCAAAAGGAACTACTATGGGGCCTGTGGGTAGGGCTGAGGGGCCTTGAGGCTTAGGCGTTTTTTTGCTTGGGCCAGAGTTCCCCCCTCCCTTCAGAGCTGTACAGAGAAAACTATCATGGCGTGCCCGCTCACAGAACTCGACTCCTGCATGTTCGGACAAAAGGTTGTGAGGTTAGAGCTCGTATTGTTGATGATATAAATCCTGCATTACCCTAAGGACCCTTAACTATGGGAATGATGGTATATTCTTTATTATGGGTAATGCAGGATTTGTATTATCAACCGTAGGGCTTAGGGTTCCCAAAACAACCTAAGTTTAAGGGTTGTTCAGAACGTGTCCCGCAAAGTGCCCTG